ATTCAAGGCGTATTTATTGGCAGGTGAGGTGAGAGATACAAAGACATTCAGAGACAGACCCCCGCCTAGGAGGGGCCTCCAGCCTCAGGGGTAGGTTGAGCAGGAAGCTGTGGGCAGGGGCAGTNGCTCTGGGAGTGCAGGTTTGACCAGTTGTAAAGGTCGTGCTCTTTTTTTCCTCATTCAAGGCATATTTATTGGCAGGTGAGGTGAGAGATACAAAGACATTCAGAGACAGACCCCTGCCTAGGAGGGGCCTCCAGCCTCAGGGGTAGGTTGAGCAGGAAGCTGTGGGCAGGGGCAGTCAGAAAGTGGCTGAAGTGACCTGGGGGCGGAGGGAGCTGAGTGGTGAGGAAAAGGACAGGATTTAGCTGGAGGCTGGTGCAGGTGAGTCCAGGGGGCTGTCTCAGACAGTGGCAGCCAGCATGGTGCTGGCCTGGGGTACGAGAACTGAAAGAACAAACATAAAATCCTTCTGCACAGGGACAATGCTTGGGGGCATGCCCGGCCCACTCAGGACTGTGCAGGTGCCTCCGACGAACAGCACCACCCCCACCCAGACCGCTGGGTTGAGCCCAGTCTCAGGGTCCGAGTCGCCCCCAGAGTGCAGTGCTGACCCCAGCCCACCACTGCTGCCAGCGCTGGGTGGGTAGGGGGACTACACCCCTGAAGGTGGACAGGGGGAGGCGGCTGAGGGAGGGGCCACCTGGCAGCGACCTGCACAGCAGGGGACTTGGAGGGAAGATCAGGGCCCCATGGCAGTAGGCGATGTGTGGGGCGCTGCCCCCAGGATGCACAGAGGGGCTGTGAGCACCCAGGTGCAACGTGCTGGCAGGTCTGAACAACGGGCAACTGAGGAGCTGGCACGAAGGCTGTCCTGGGAAGGAGGACTCGTGGGTGGCAGACCCTCCCCACCTCCTGCCCTTCACCAGCTCAGCACTTGCTGGTCCCCGCAGGCTCCACGGCTGTTCCAGGCCCGGTGTTAATGGAGGCCCTGGGCATCCTCTTCTGTAAACCACCCCCGAGTCCTCTTCAGTGCCAACAGCCCATGATTCAAAGAATTCCAGGGGTCATTACTCTCCCTGGTGGGGACGATCGGGATGGAAGCAAGCTCGAAGGGAACATCCTATTTCTTACTTAAAAACATAATTTTTCCATATTAATCACAATTGATTCCTATTCCAACATTCCTGTTCACCTCCACAGCCTTCTTCAGAGCCCTGACACTGGCTGACCTTTGGGTTCATTTTGCACACGACGGCTCTACATCCCACTTCCGTGGGCTCTGTCTCCCCTGCCAGCCTCTGAGTGTCCTTCACTTAAAGGACACACTTGGATGTACAGACTCTTCATGAAAACATCTAAGAGTTTAAATGAAATCCAAAGTTGAGCAGGTGACACTAAAGCTTGGGGACACTGTCAGTAACCAGCGTGTTAGTTACAGCAATCATTAACTATTTTCATGGAGATTAAAGAGGATATAATCTTCCCTCAAGTTACCACCAAACACACAGGTAAATGTGTGCAACTTCTGGAGCCTTTTGCTGGTAAAATAATCCAGTAGCAAATTTTGGGTGAACATCCCTTAATTTATTTTTCTGAGGAACGAAGACACACAGGACGCGTGTTCCCATAGGAGGGCAACAGGATTTGTGACACTGGCCACATTTCTGCTATTGAAGCTGTGCGGGAGGCTGTGTCCTTTGGACAGCCTTCCTCCTCTTCTCCTGTCCCCCTCCTACCCCCGTCAGAGAAGGGAGTTTGTGCACTTAATCGGAAAGGGGTGGTGTTCAGGGGAAGCTGGCATCACCCACCACCTTCCTCTTTCCAGAGTGTCTTAGTTGTGGCCTGGGAGTCTGGGGACCCAGATTGCGAAACCATCTCTGAGCAGACACTCCTGCTGATGCCTGAGATGGTCTGTGTCACCTAGGTTGCCCTCGTGTGGGCTGGTGCTGAGCAGGGTGCTGGGACTCTGGCAAAGGGGTCCCTTCGGTCCCATCTCCTAGAGTTTAGTCTGGAGGGCCGCGCCCGAGGCCTGGGGTGGCGGGAGGGTTAGGGTTAGGGTTAGGGCTCGATCAGGGTTGCTGGTGTCCAGTATCTGCTCCTCTCCCAGGACACCATCAACTTCCAGTGAGTCTGGGCCCCTGCTGTGGATTATGTGTGGCCACACCTGCCCGCTGCACTCTGGGGTCTCTGAGTGGTAATGAATGGGCCCATTGTTTTGAGTACACGTGTCCCCTGTCACAAACAGGATGCTGGTCTCTCCAGGATGAGTTCTGTCCTTAACTCACAGGGATGCACCCAGAGTTTGAATCCCAGCCCTGCCTTTCGCTGGCTGTGCAGCCTTGGGCAAGCCTTCTGATCTCTCTGAGCCTCCACTGTCCCACCTGTAAAATGGGGATATTTGAGGGCAAACAGATGTCCCCATTGGGAAAAGAAATCTCATATGCACAGGATGTGGGCCAGTGGTCTCCGCCAAGCCCAGCCCCAGCCTGCAGTAGTTCCCAGGGTCCCTCCCAGGGTACAGGTGGTCTCCTTGCTGCAAGTGGTCTCTGGATGAGATGCAGTGCTCCCACCCCTTGCTACTGGTAACCAAGGACTGGCATCCCCTTGCAGATGGAGAAGCAGGTGGCCACTTGACCCCAGGGCCCTGACCAGGCAGATGGGCTTTTGCAAGCTTGTCTGGAGGCAAGGGTGGGGTGGGGGCAGGAGCAGAGTGTGACGTGACAGCCCAATGGGACTTCCTGGAAGAGATGCAGTTAGGCTGAGAAAGAAGAAGCGCTTTTCATCTTCGACCAGCGGCAAACGGGCAGGGAAACCAATGTGGCAATTTCCTAAGCTCTGAGGGCTCAGGGAAGAAAGCCCTGGGGAGCTCAGTGGTCAGGCCCGTGCACCTTGGTGCGTGGGTGTGGAGAGAAGCCCAATACCCAGATGGCGCCCCCCCAGTCACACCTCAGAGGAAGGCTCTGGAATCCACTCTCAGAGGAAGCAAGGGAAACTGCAGGAGTCACGGGCAAGGGGCATGGATTCTCGTCGGGTGTTCTGCGTCTGTCTGACCACCAGACAGAGGGACCTCCAAGCACCCACACTGCACAGATGGGGACCCACGGCCCTTGTTGGGAGCACCAGAAATGATCACAGCGCCTGGGGGAGAGCTTGGCGGGGAGTCACCAGCACAGCAGAGGAAGGGCCTGCAATGGCCACACTCAGAAGCAGGGTGCTTGGGGTGGCTACTGAGAGTGCCCTGGTCCCGCCATGTGCCACCACTATGAGAGGGATTTCCTGAGCCACCCCAACAAGCCTCTGCAGAGCCTGAGAGGGGGACCTAGTTACTGTCCCATGTCATGGATGATGGGACAGGGCCTTTGGGAGGCTCAGGTTACACAGCTGGTAGGAGGGGTTCTGTGGTGCCCCAGTGTCCCTGTGTGCGAGTGTGGACTCTGGAGCCTCTGTCTGGGGTGTGGGGTGTGGGGGCAGGGCAGCTCTGATGGGGAAAGGGCTGGGAAGGGCTCTGCCAGCATCACATGCCAGCTCGGGAAGGCGGCACCACCAGTGACAACAACACACACAGTCGTCCAGCCCGTGGGCCTCACGGAGTCCCCCACAGTCCTTTTTCTCTCCTGTCCCCGCTTTGTTAGATGAGGACACCGAGGTGAGGAGAACTTAGGAAAATCACTGCCAGCAAGCACGTGTTAGGACAGCAGGCCCTGTGGGCCCTCCAGGAGACCCCTGACTGAGGTTTGGTGAAGGAGCGGCTTCTCTCGGTGTCCGCCTTCTCCCCCCGGCTTACCCCCTTAGACCTTAGATGGCACAAATCAGGACAGAACCAGGAAGGGGGTCGAGGGTGTGACAAGAACAAGACAGGGAGCAGGGCAGGCAGCGGGGGCTGGAGGGCTGCTCCCAGCCCAGTGCTAGCTCTGGGCCTCCCAGTTACCACGTGTCACCACGTATCTGCTGAGACCCACCCGAGCTTGCTGCGGCTTGTCCCCATCACTGAGAGTCGAGGCTGCCCCCTGCTCTGACTCTGTGCCCTTGGCTCCCGAATTGCAGCACCCATCCTAGGCCGGGTCTAGGGGCCTGAGGCAGTGACCCCAGCATCACGGGCTCCTCAGCCTCCGTGTTCACCATGAGGGGTGTGACCTGGGCGGTGCTGGGGCCTGAGCACCCTCTGCCTGGTCACATTTGCCCATGCTCCAGCCCTCTTCCAAAGAGGAAGGAGGGTAGAAAACAGCCACTGTCTGGGTGCTGTCCCCACCTGCTAGGCGGTGGGCTGGGCGACTTGGCAGGTCACTTCAGCCTGCTGGCACCAGCTTCCTGACCGGTTACATGAGGCAGGGGCCCTCTAGGGTCTGTGATCCTGTGGGCCAGGGCAGGTATTGCCCAGCTTTCTTTGTGGGGCACAGGAGGCAGGCACTCACTGGCTGTGTGACTCGGGTGAGTCACCTGACTTCTCTGTGCCTCAGTTTCCCAGTGCATAGGAAGCATCCTCTTCTTTTTCACTGCCTTCCTCCCCAGCGCAGGCCTTCAGGGTACAGATTTCAGGAAGGATGAAAGTGTATGATCAGTGGGGTCCCTGCAACCAAGTCACAAGACAGCGACCGGCAGGCAGGAAGGACGAGCCATCAGATAGAAACCAGCTAACCGCTAGTACATTCTCCACTCTGTCCCCGTGGAGGGGCCTTTCCCAGGCCACCACGCAGAGCTGGGAGTGGCAGGCAATAGAGGACACTTCCCTCATCCCTAACAAAGACAGCTCCCAGACCCTCCATCCCTGAAGCCTGCTCCTCCCAAAGGCAGCTGCCGCCAGGACCAGGAGCCCTTCATCTGCCATGTGGTCCCCCCAGGGCTCCAAGCCAGCAGACTGTCCTGGGGAGGACCCAGGGCGGGGAGGAAGCTCCCAGTACCCCCACTGCTATCAGGCGATCTCAGGGAGTACACCCCAGGGTGCTGCCAGAGTCCCAGGTCCCCTGATGTGAAGCAGCCAGGGGAGACCCTCCTCTTACCTTGGGAAGGGCCCCCGGTGGTGCTCAGGACAAGGCAGCAGAAGGCGAGCAGCGCTGCATCTGGCCGCATGGCTGCCTGGGCAGAGGGCTGTGCAGCACAGCAGTTGGTGCCTGCGCCCGGCCCCCTCGTGCTGTGCTGGGCGTGAGTGTTGGGGCGTGGAGCCCCGCCCTGCAAACGGCCCAGTGCTGGGGCAGAAGTGGGGGCTGCCAGCTTTGGGGCTTGGCTGGGATGTTTTCTTGCTGAATCATTTTGGCCAGAAGCTCTTCTCACCTCTTAGATCTATTGGCCACAAAGTCAACCGCTTCCTTTATAGAAGTTTCCAAGAAACGACCCTTTGCTGGGGGAGGAGGAAGGTCGGTGAGACCTGCGAACAATCCTGGTGTCATTTTCTACCCTTGACCCACACACGGAAGAGACGTTGCATTAAAAAAATTAGGAGGGATTTTCAGAAGCTGAACCACTTGATTTTCCTTCTCCACCCTATACACGGCTACCACCCGGCATTCTGAGTGGCCCCGGGCAGGAGACTCTCCACTCCCCTGGTTGAGTGGGCATCTGCCCCTGGGAACTCGGCAGGAAAACAGGGTCCAGACTGCAGCTTCCCAGGACGAACGTCGTCAGCGCACATGCTGCCTCTGGGTGATTTCTGCACCTGGAAATCAAGAGAGGAGCAGTGTTTGCTGATCAAGTGAGCCAGTGAAGGAAGGAGCAGGATGTGGCCCAGAGGTCTCGCACCCTGGCAGTGAGTCCGTTTATGTGCCCAGCCCTGGACCTGGTTTGAATCCACCACTCTGCTTCTTAACACCTGAGTGACCTTAGGTGAGGAGACTCAGTTTACCTCTGAGAGGGTTGGATGGGGATTTGGGACCTTCCTCAGTGTAAGTGCTCCTGGCTTGCACTGGAGCAAGCTGCAATAGCTTCAGCTTCAGGGAGTTTCATTCAGGTAGTAGGAAGGAGATGCCTGAGCCTCCAGCTCACTGTGTGTGCACACATGCATGCAAGAGTATGCACTGTGTGTGTACACATGCATGCATGAGTATGCACCGTGTGTGTACAGATGCGTGCATGAATGTGCACCCTCACCACCCAGGTTCTTGGACATGCAGACTCTGAATCAGAGCCTTCATTTCATCCCTGGGGAAGCTGTGCCCCAGGTAGTTCCTCCTGGTCATACCATATTTCAGGCAGGGAGATCTGGGTTCGTGGGACCTGGACAAGCCACATAATCTCTCAGAGCCTCTCCGTTTCCTGGCCATTCACAGACTTGTTGTGAGGGCTGTTGTCAGGAAAATGCATTTATCACAGGGCATGGTAGATGGTAGTGCTCAATAAATGGTGGCTGCTGTGACCACTTGCCCTGCTCTGCCCGGTCCTGGGACCCTCATCCTCTGGCTGTCAGCAGCTGTGACATGATGCTCCAGGCTAGTGTTCCATCTGACAGGCTCCGTGCCCTGATGGCATGTGTTATGTCTGGGATTCACCCAGCAGCAGGAGAAGTGGGGTGCCACACTGGTGTCTTTGTCCTCAACCAAGCATGAGGCCAGGAGGTGGGGCTCGGCCCTCCAGTAAGTCAGGTGCATCAGCTGTTATTACTGCTCATTGTCATTAGTATTGTGTGTGACCCTCACTTTAAAAACACTGGATGGAGCTCAGAGCAGTTATGGGACTTGCCCCTGTCACCGCATCTTCTCTGGGCCTCGGCCCCCTTCATCTGCAAATGTGGGTGTTGCTCATTGCTGTTCTGCTGCCTCGCCAGCCCCAGGCCTGCTGGGTGAGCAAAAGCACAGGGAGGCCCTTGCTAAGTCAAAGTGCCACAGCAGGAAGGGGCTGCTGTTACAACAACATTGTGACAGGGTTCCTGGGGGGGAGAAGTGTGTGTGTGTGTGTGTACATGCTGTTATGGGTATATATGTGTGTAACTGTGTTTAACTGTATCTGTGTGTGTATGCGTGTGTGTTCAGGAGTCCATCTGAATGCAAATGTGTATCAGTATGTTTTCTGAGTGTATGAAAGATGTGTATGTGCTTACACGTATATGTGTGTAAGTCTGTGTGAGCATGTGTTTATTTATGTACATTGTGATGGTTAATTTTATGTGTCAACATGGCTGGGCCATAGGGTGCCCACATTTTTGGTTAAACATTATTCTGGGTGTGTCTGTGAGGGTGTTTCTGGGTGAGATTAATATCTGAATTTGTAGATTGAGTGAAGCAGATTGCCCTCCCCAGTTGCATGGGCCTCATCCAATTCATTGAAGGCCAGAATAGAATAAGAGGCTGAGTAAGAAAGAATTCTCTCTTTCTGCCTCACTGTCTTTGAGCTGGGACATCAGTCTTCTCTTGCCTTTGAACTTGTACTGCACCTTACATCTTGGACCTCCTGGTTCTCAGGCCTTCAGACCTGACCTGGAAATTACACTATAAGCTGTCCTTGGTCTGGACTTCTGAACTTCCATAACTGTATGAATCAATTTTTTAGAATAAATTATGTGTATTTAAAATATATCCATCTCCATCTCTATATCTGTTTATCTATATTTCCTATTGGCTTTGTTTTTTTTGAGAACTGTGACTAATACAGATTTTGGTACCAGGAGTGGGGTTCTAAAGGAACAGAATTTTAAGAATAAATTTTCTGGATTGGTTCTGGGATGTATGGAATTGGCTCTCTAATCTAATTAGATTTAAAGACTTCTAATGACTCTATTTCCAGTAATAAAGAGAGCACTGATAGTCCATCCCATGATCTCACAATACAGATACGCAAAATATCTTCATTGGATACTCCTAATTAACCACTTGTAAGAAAGAAGTTGCTGGGTGACTGTCACTTTTGTACATCTAACAAATACAATAAGGTTGGCTGGTTGCTCCTAACATCATTGGAAAAAATGGTGAAAGAAAAGGATGAACTCAGGAATATGAATTCTCAGCTCAACTGCTGCATAAATGACCTGAAAGCTTCTATGTATGCCCTGAAGGAGACATTTATCTCCTGCAGCCACAAGACTGAGATTGCTGAAAATCAAATGCAGAATCTCATACTTCCATTGAATGAATGTAAGTTGAACTCTGAGCCTTGGAGGGGTCTGCTGTTAAAATGAGGGCATTGATTAACAAAGAATGGGATCCTGTAGGTCAGAATGGGGATGTATTATTCTGTTTTTGTTGCTTATAAATACCTGAAACTGGGTGGTTTATAAAGAAAACAAAATTTATTGCTTATAGTTCAGAGGCTGAAAAGTCCAAAGTCCAGGGAGCACATCTGGTGAGGGTCTTCTTTGGTGGTGGCTTTACAGCAATGCAGGGGTCTCACATGGCAGAAAATGGTGGAGCAGAGGGACAGAGTTCCTTATGCACTCTCTTTTTGAAGTCCTCAGAACCACACACCTGACCACCATTATTAATTCATTCACTCTGGCATGGTCCTACAATCTAATCACCTCTTCAAGGGCCGACCTTTGAATTACTATAATAGGATTTCCCACTCTCAACAGTTACAGTGGGGATTTAAGCTTCAATGGTGAGGGTCAGTGGGGGATGCAATCTACAGCATTCTGCCCGGACTCCCCAAAGCTCATTTCCTTTTCACATACAAATACATTAATTTCTTCCCCAAAGTCTTAACTTGTTTCAACTCTAAAGTCCAAATTTCAAAGCCCATCTGTGAACTTAAAATAAGTTATCTACTTCCAAGATACAATGGTGCGACAAGCGTAGGGTACATAGTCCCATTCGAAGAGAGAGAGAGACAGGCCAAAAGAAAGAGGTAACAGGTTCCAAACAAGTCCGAAACACAGCAGGTCAGACATTAAATCTCAAAGCTGGTGAATCATGTAGTTTGACTCCATGTTTGATGTCCTCTGCATGCTGGTTTGGAGATGGGTCCCCAAGTCCTTAGGCTTGACACAGAAGCTCCACTTTTATTGCTTTCCTGGTCTCAGGGAATGCTTCAGCTCTTGCAGGCTGGTATTGCATGCTGGTAGCCTCACGATTCTGCATCTTCTTTACCAGTGGACAAGGCCTCCCAATTACCTGTCTGAGGGGACTGACCCTGCATTATCTGAAGAAACTGTGATGGCCTCCCCTTGGGCAGTTGCCGTGTGAGACAATGCTGCTTCTCCTCAGGACCCACTGCACCAGCCCCTTTGCTTCTAGGCCTATAACCAGACTCAAGTCCCAGCAGGTGCCCAAAGGTGAGGTACAAAGTGTGACCTGTGATGAAGTGCACCAAACTCCAAAAGAGCTATTTGAGTTTTCTAATTTATACAAACGGAAATCTAGAGGACATGTGTGGATAGATCTTAAGGGTTTGGGTAATGGTGGAGGAAACAAAGTTAGATCAGTCGAATTTATCTGCATGGGCTCACTAAGCAGAGATTCTGCGTTTAATGTTACAGATCAGAGGTTAGAAAGGACTCTAACAGTGCTTTGTTGGTTGGCTGAAACACGGACCAAAAGGTGGCCCACAGGAAGTGAGCTGGAAGTGCTGGGCCTGCCTTGGTTTAATGTAGAGGAAGAGAGTCCAAGGCGTAGGGCAACTGGAAAGTTAGAGTGCCCCTGTCATTTAGGATCGACTCGCCCACACTGGGAGGGTCCAGAAGACACACCTTTCACCACAATTGTGAGCGGTAAGTGTTTGAGGGGAGCCCCTTCTCTCAAGGGCCACACCTTACAGTGGAACCTGCAGCCACTTGACTTGGAAAATTAAATGCAACAGAAGTAATTGGATCCTGGGCAGCAGGGACAAGTCGGGGTACTCAGCCACCAAAGGAAAGGTGGGCATGGCTACTGTACCAGACAGCAGAGCCAGACCCAATCAGCATAGGCACACCTGGTTCTATGCTTTATTGTGCTCACGCCCACTGCATTTTCTACAAGTTGAAGGCTTGTGGCAGCCCTGCATCTACGGAGTCTGTCTGCACCATTTTTCCAACAGCGCGTGCTCACTGCATGTCTCTCTGTCACATTTTGATAATTCTGCAAATATTCTAAACGTTTCTTATTGTTATTATGTCTGTTGTGGTGACTTGTGATCAATGATCTTTGATGTTATTATTGTAATTGTTTTGGCTGTGAACTGTGCCCAAATGAGACAACAAAT